GTCTGAGATTTCAGATATTTTTATAGGCGTACTCTGAGAAATTCAGATTTTTTTTTTTTGCTTCAACTCTGTAAAAATCAGATTTTTTATAGGCTGACTCTGAGATTTCAGAGTTTCCCGTGAGTGTACTCTGAGGAGTTTACAGTACAAACGAGTACTGACTCTGATTGAAACTACCTGTGCACCGACACCCAGGATTACCGGTGGTACATTGTACCTGTACCGTCAATCACGCGAAATCTGTGCCAACTGTCAAGTTTGGTGGGCGACGCCGCCCTGCGGCGCGGTGTTTCCCTCGTACAGCTGGGTGATTCCCCCGCCCTGCATCGTGATGTTTCCCACGGTGTAAGCTACAGCACACACTCTGTTAGAGCATTGATTGGTCCGTTTGGCAGCTTTTGACTACCATCACGAACCCCACCACCACAAGTGTCCACAATGCTGCAGCAGTTGCCACCCACGTAAAGGTGATGGCAAGCAGACGTTGCCAAGAACACCCGTTAATTGGTCCCTTTGGCAGCATCGTGTACCAACACGAAACATTCCTCCCAGCTGTGCACAGCAGACGCGCCTCGTCGTTGCCGTGCATGCTAGGCAACACCCACCAGAGGCATGGATGGCCCACAGTTAGTTATAGGGCCATCCTCTACGAGCTAGGGTTCCATCCGCATCCCTCAGCTCAGCTTCAACTCACGGGGCCCCTCCACTGCCCAGTTCAGTAGCCTCAGAACCGCCTCTCGTTCCTGCTCGGCAGGCTCTCAACTCTTCGCCATGGCTCAGCCCGACAATCCCGCTACCTCAGATGACGACGACCCTGATTCGCAGCCTGCATTAACAGGCTTGGATTTTTTGCTCAGTCACCTAGCTCTCGAGAAGGCAGCACGCGCAGAGCCCGATTCTACCCCCACCTTGAAGGAACCTCTAGCACCTGTGATCTCAAATCCCGACCCTGTGGCAGAGACACCTGCGGAACCAACGGTTGTTTCGGCATCGCACCATCCCGCTCAGACCACGGCGCGAACCATCCGGCTCAAGCAGGCGACATTGAGCTTCGCCAAGCCTCCATCCTCGACCGCCAACGTCAACAATTCTCCCGGCTCGTCTGACAGTCCGCGACCTCGCCTCACCATAAACCTGGCCGAGCTCATTGAAGGGCTGTACGATGATGCCATTGACAAGTTCAAGAGTCAGTGGGAAGCGCGGTTTCTCTGGCTGCAAATCACCAAAACCACCTCCAGCTTGCCTGCCTTCAAGTGTACTGTGTATGCAGCTTATGCTGGCGACGAAGGGAAGTGCGGGAGACGCGGGAAAGGAGCCACGGACTTGCAGACCCAGTCGTTCCGTAAGCACACGGGCAACGCGAAGCACAAGCTGGCGATGGCGAGACAAACAGCTGTGCAGGAGTGCGGAGCGAGGCAGCCGCAGATCGACCAGCATCGCGCCACCATGGACGGAGAGCAGTCGCGTGTCGTCGCCCTTCTCGACTCCCTGCTGTTCATCAGCAGGTCCGATACGCCGATGGGGATGTAGGTGAAGCTTGTGCGTTACCTGGCGGAGAAGGCCGTGCCTGGCTTCCCGAAGAGGGGCTACGGCACCTACTATACCACGTGAGTGCAATTGCCAGAAGTTATTTGATGCATTTTGTTGTGTCAGTGTTTTATCCTAAGGTTAATGTTTAAACTACTGTTTCCTTGTGAATGCAGGTACGGTTTCGGAGAGCTGACGCAAGTGACTGCGACATGGCTCCAGACAACCCAGCTGGAATACGTGCTGGCGTCGCCCTTCGTCGGCATCGCTATTGACGAGAGCACGGATAGGTGCAGCGGGAAGCACCTGATCCTCTTCGTCTCTTTCATCCGTGACAACAAGCTTGTCACGAAGTTCATGGCTCTTCTTACCGTGGAGAAGGCCGATGCAGCTTCCCTCCTCAGTATTCTGTTGTCACACCTGCAGGCTGTCGGGGTCGACCTTCAGTGCATTGCGGGGATCAGCACCGACGGTGCCAACGTCATGATGGGCAGCAAGTCCGGCCTCACCACACGCCTCCGACTGCGCATCCCCCATCTGGTGTCATCCCACTGTATCGCGCACAGGTATGTATGAATGTATGTGTTTTTCATTTGTTATTTGTTTAACGTCTTTACGATTGTTTGTTTTCCAGATGTACAAATGATGTTCGCATCTTGTGTACAGGGAGGCACTCGCGGCCAAAACGGCGGCCGAGAAGGTTCCGGCGTTCAATGTCATTGACTCGGTGATTCGCACCGTGGCAAAGTATCTCGCCCGTTCGGGGCCGTGGCATCAACGATTCATGGGGCTCCAGGAAGTCTTCGTGTCAACCTCTCTTGAGCCCCAGGGCATTCATTCCGTTCGGTGGCTTTCGCGGGGCGACGCAGTGCTCAGGCTTGTCGCGGTGCTTCCGGCACTCATCGTGATGCTCAAGGAGTGGGATGCGAACCTCCATGCTCTGGTTACGAGTTACAGGTTTCATTTCCTTCTTTTCTTCATTGCTGATGTGCTTGGGCAGCTCAACATCCTGACCAGGTGTTCCAGCAGAAGGAGGTGAGGTTGGCCATAGTTGTTGTTATTGTTTTGTTGCAGTCGCCATTCATACGCGTGTTCATGTTTGTTAATCCTGATCAACCACTAACTACCGTTTTTTTGTTTTCTGTCCAGCTTGACTATGCCGGCGTGCATGTGCAGATCAAGCGCACAACCTCCCACATTGAGAGCCGCTACGTTGATTGCGGCGACGACTTCGGTGGCGGGGTGAGCGAGCGGCTGTCCCCCTTCATCGCGCGCCATGGGCAACCCGAAACTGGGAGGTGAAAGTTGAAGGCATTGACTCGGACGGCCGTCCAGCACACTTCAAACTCGTGCTGCTGCATGAGGACGAGGTGGAGGAGTTCGAAGGGCCCGGGAGCCATGACGACTGCGTGGCACTCTGCACGGAGTTCGCGGAGGTGATTGTTCACCAGCTCGAGCATTGGCTAGGCGACCTGGATGGGATGTCCGGGATGAAGCTGTTCCTGCCAGACGAGTAACCGCTGGATCGAGCCGAGAGGAAACGGCAGTGCCTTCAGTGGCTACAGTCGCTGGTCACCTTGTTCAAGGCCGACCTGACGGAGGAGATCATGCCAGGTAAGCCTTACCATCCTGCATCGTTGCTCTGCTTGCGTACTGTGCGATGCTTCAATCTTTGTATGTGTTTGTTTAATCATTCCACTCTGTTCTACCGTTGTCTCTGTTTTTTTACTCATTCCAATCTGTTTACCCAATCCCGCCAGGAGTCAACAAGCACCGTGCAGAGAAGGAGCTGCGCATGTTTACCTTGATGCTTGCAGCCTCTACCAAGGGCGAGCGCAGTTTCCACGCGGGGCTCACAGCCATGCTCAAGACACCGGTCTGGCGGGACAACTACCCCAACCTTGTTCATCTGTGGGTGGCGGTAGCTGTCTTGCCGCTGAGCACCGTGGAGTGCAAGCGGTGGTTCTCGTGGCAGAACGTTATCAAGTCGTGGAAGAGAGGCGTGCTGAAGGATGCTCGGCTGGGCGACCTCATGTGCATGAGCCTCATGGACTACGAGCCCAACTGGGAGGAGATCGTGACAATCTGGAGGGCCTACAAGAAGCGCAAGCCCCACAGCAACGCTTCTCTCCCGCCTGCAGGAAAGCAGCAGAACAAGGCCAAGGAGGCAGAGGAGGTGATGGAAGTAGAAGACATAGAGCAGGATGATGATGATGCATCCGATGGTGATGATGATGGATTTGATGAGTAGACTAGAGTAGATAGGATAGGATCTATATAACTACTAGCTAGTTAGTTTAACTCTTAACTGTTATGTGCTAGTAGTATGTATGCAGGCCAGCTTTATGTAGTTCAAAAACACCTTAAATACAACACACACCAGCACTCAATCAGACTTATCATTGGGGTAGACTCTGATTGCTTCAGACTTTCTTTTTAAGACACTCTGAAGTTTCAGCCTGTTTTTTCCAACCAAGTCTGACAAATCAGACAGGCAAAAAACGAATCTGAGGGCCTGCTTGGTACAATCATAAAAATCAGCTCCTAAGAAATTGTGTGTGTGTGTGTGTGTGTGTGTGTGTGTGTGTGTGTGTGTGTGTGTGTGTGTGTGTGTGTGTGTGTGTGTGTGTGTGTTTGTGTGTGTGGCGTGCACGCGTGCACGCGTGCATGCGTGTGTGCGTTGTGTGCGCACAATCTAGCACTTTGTGCATGCTAAGAAATGTGAGCAAATCAAATGTGGAGTGAGATTGTGGGAAGCAACAGGAACACAGGGTACATGATCTTGCTCCAGTGCATGTTAGGGCACCACTAAGTTATATATCAACCTAGATGTTTCAGCAGTACCAATCTTCCATGAGTATTTGTCAGTGACAAATTGTCACCACTGCTTCACTCCCATTCCTTCGTTGAATCCGCTTTGTGAGCAGAGATTCTTAGCAGCCACAGTTTTCTCGTCTAAAGCATCACTCCCTGGTGCTAACTGGCCCGTCATCGTGCTTGTCCAGTGCAGAGGCCAATTTTAGAATGTACTAAAAAATTTGTGGGATGGACAAAATAGAGGCTTCCTCTTACTCCATTCACCCCTATAATCCCATTCATTCCTCCCTCTGCTACGACTGCGGGATCTCACCCACCAAAGTCACAATACCGGTATCTGCTCCATAAAGTGATGCTTCAGGCTAGCGTGTGCAGCAATTCATGTATTGGGGGCCGCAAAACATGCACCTAGCACAGGATTCAAGCGGTCATACGATAGAGTAACTTGACTTCCAATGAGATCAGATACAATGTGATACGAAATGACATTCAGGAACCCAAGCATCCATCTACACAAGACACACCATACCCACAATCACCCGCATAGAGTACATGATCACAAGGCTAATAATATATATTGCAGCAAGAAGAAGCCCCCTCGTCTTTCCCCGCCACTACTACATGCTTCCAACCTCGGCAGCCCCCCCCCCTCCGTACTACTTGGAGTTGCACTTTGCAGCTGTTGGATCTGCAGAAAAGGAGAAGGTAAGGAGGTTTAACCAATCAGTTGCACATGCACACACGGGCGTGGTTGGCCCCACAAAGGCTCTCCAGACTCTGCCACGTTGCAAAGGGAGAGCTGCTATGGCGTTTCCAGCTTGTCCGCAGCCCATGCCACCGGCGGCGAAGTGGGTAAGACCGGGCTGGAAATGAAGGCACATGCGACAATACTCAAAGGAAGAGCCCGCATGCCCTCTCACCAACGCATAGCACACGCACCAACAAGCATAGCCCAGGCACCAGCATGCATCTCCCACTCACCAATAGCCCAAACGATTGCATTCCTCAAGCTTTCCCGGACGTTCAGTCTCGCAGCTCTGCTTCTTCGAGTCTCTGTACTTGAGAAAGATGCCAATAATAGGAACAGTATATCCCGTGCAATCCGTCTTCCTCCAATCAGAGCACTCTTCTGCAAGGGTGAGAGCAAAGGGGAGTCGAATTCTTTGCTTCGGAAACGGGCCGCCTGAGAATGAGCGACATTCAAGGGAGGCAGGAGCAAATGGACGGCTGAGATTCACCTCAGATATGAGCTGCTTTAGGGAGCACACTGCTGCAACAGTCCGTGACAGCCAATGCTGTCCAGCCTTATGGGCAGCACGGAGATACCAGCTCCTTTTATACAGTAACAGCGGAAAAACTTAAACAGAAAACAAAAACAGAAATAAAAATGAGTCATTCCTACTCTTAGTAAGAAGCTCGCGGCGGCGACCCTGCTCGTCCCCCGCACTGGGCTCAGCAAAATTCGGCGCGCGCTCTGCCGTGATGGCGCCGCCGGCGCTGTCTACCGCTCCTGACGCACCTGCAGCCACGCCATGCCGACACGAAAATTCACGCAGGGGACGAGGGAACAGGGGAAAGGTTGAGGGGAGTGATGATGGGGCGGCGGTTTAGAGAGACAGGCGGATAAATCGCATGGAGCCAACCTCTCGCTTCTCGAGATGCGCGTCCATCGCACGTGCCTAGAGATCGCACAGGGGATCATCGGCAGTCATGGTCGAGGTCTGCTACTCACCATCGCCGTTAGTCATTCCGTCGCCAAGAAGCCGACCAGATCGAGCGGCAGCAGCCGTGGAAGCGAATGATTCGAGAGTGACGGTGACGGCAAGCAGGAGAGCGAGAGCCGCAAGCAGACGCGCCATGATTACTACTAGCTAAAGAGGATGCAAAAGTTGGAAGCGAGTGAATCAAGAGCTTCGAAATGTGGGACTGGGTGATGGGGAAGATAGAAGGCGTGGGTATTTGTGTGGCGTGAGAGGGCGGACTGTGGTGAGTGTGAATTGGCTCAAGTGCACTCTCATTCACCACAATCGCAATGTCAGCATCGCGAATCGCAATGCTCAGCGAATCACCGTCGAGATTTCGGGTGTGACGCGTTACGACTATAATTCACTAGGATAGGTCGCTTGACTCACAATGGATGCTGGAATGTGTGGTACGCTACACACATTTTCAGTACGGTTAAGAGAGATACAAGCACTTTGCTCGAATCACAAACGAGTACCAACATAAATGATCGCGTTCACGAATGACTCGGTGTAGTGCTTGACATGCGAATACATTTCTCTTTCACCCTGACTGCCCCAGGAAAATATATGACCCCAGTGCTCAAAAACTGTTTGACAAGCCGTGAGATGCGGGGGCAGGGGGACCGATAAAAGAGAGTTATATGAACTACATGTTTCAAAGTTGAGTTGCTTAGCGAAACAAAATAATGAATCAATCAATCCTCTTCTTTCAAGCCTCAAGCATCTGTGTCTCTCTCCCTGTTAGCGTCTGTTTTGCTCCTTCACAAGTATTGTCGGATGCTTTCTCCTGCATGGTCCTTTCTCAAACGGAAAGGGCTGGCGGAGATTTCGCATTTGAGCGCTTTTAGACGCTAATCTGGTAATATTGGAGGTAAGCGTGTTATGAGTTGTGAAAGAGAGTGCGCAGGTAAACGAATAACGAGGCTGTGACTGAATGAACTGAGAATACAATGAATGCACAGACTAATGTAGGGCTAGCCTAGCTAGGAGGAAACCTCGGACGAGCGAGGTTGGGTGCAGGTTTGGCGATGGGAATGCCGAAGGCGACGCGAGGAGCCTCGGCAGCGTGGAAATCGCCCGAACGTGCGAACTCCGAAAATCGGGTTGTACGCGCAGCAGTCAACCCCGATAAGGAATTCGAGAAAATTCCTTACACCACCCCCCTGTCAAGAAGGTAGCCTAGGTTAGGAACCTAGGAAAGTGACGAGAGAGTAGAATGTCGAGAAAGAAGGGGGTTTCACTATAGGCTTGAGGGTACAAAATATAGGCAAAAGTTGGGGGTGCACCACCTACAGAAATTATATAACTACACTAGGCTACTACTACATGCAATTACAACAATATATAACTTTGACATCCCCCCTTAACTGCATGCAGGAATAGCAAAGTGCAAAATACAACCTGCAGGGGTACACCAGGCGCAGCGTAAGCCGGCAGAGAGGAATGAGAGGAGGAGGAGACGAGAGAAGGAGAGAGGAGAGGAGAGGAGTACTAAGGGAGGAGGGAAGAGAGAGAGGGATGAGGAGAGGAGGTGGGGGGCCAGGACCGGCGGACCCGCTTACGAACCTCCTTTTACAAAGGGGGGTTGGGGAGGAGTGAGGGAAAAGGAGAGAAGGTGGGGGGCCAGGAGCGGCGGACCCTCTTAAAAACCTTCAGAAGGTGGGGGGCCAGGAGCGGCCGACCCTCTTAAGAACCTTCAGAACTCAACTCAACTCAACCCCCTTTAACCTCACTCCCTGAACTTGCCATCCCCTCATTGCTCACCCTCACACTCCTGTCAACTTTACTATCACCACCCCCGCCACCCTCTCATCACCACCCCCGCAACCCTCTCATCACCACCCCCCCCCCATCATCTCCCCCCCCCCCCCCCCCCCCCACGGCAAAAGCCGCGGAATGTAAGGAGGGGGGCGGGGTACGGAGCTGATGGCGCGAGCGTCCACACTGGCGCTGGCGCTTGCGTTCCGCGCTGGCGCTGGCGGTAGTCGCAGGTGCTGGCGCTGGCGCGGATCGACGGGCAGGGCGACGGGCAGGCAGGGCGCACGGGGTGCGTGCGACTGACAGGGCGATGCGGGGGCGCGACGGACGAGCGACGAAACGGGGGGGGGGGGGGGGGGGGGGGGGGGGCGGGGCGACGAATCGGGTGCCGCGGGGCGACGAAATGGGGGGCCGCGGGGGAGGGGGGGCGGGGCGACGAAACGGGGGGCCGCGGGGTGACGAAACGGAGGCCGCGGGACGACGGACGTGACGGGCGAAGGGCGCGACGGGACGAAGAAGAAAGTAGCGCATCTCGCGCTGCAGGAAGGGCATGCCCATGTTACTTAAAAAAAAAGAGAAGGTTCTAGGAAAGAACCAGCTCTGACACCATGTCAAGAAGGTAGCCTAGGTTAGGAACCTAGGAAAGTGACGAGAGAGTAGAATGTCGAGAAAGAAGGGGGTTTCACTATAGGCTTGAGGGTACAAAATATAGGCAAGAGTTGGGGGTGCACCACCAACAGAAACTATATAACTACACTAGGCTACTACTACATGCAGTTACAACAATATATAACTTTGACACCCCCCCCCCCCCCTTTAAGAAAGGCGGTCAATATCCGAAACACGCCGGCACGCCAAATAATCACCAACAAGTGGCGAGGCGTCGAGCGAGTTGGATGGCACCCACGTGTCGTCCTCACTGGTGCGATCAGTCCAGCGGATTAAGAAATCCACGTGTCGGCCAGCTGCGTCAAGCCAAACCCGATGTGCCAGAATCTTCGAAGGTTCGAGGGTCGGCTCCGGGACAGGTCGCGCTGTCGGGGCAGCTTGCTGACGTGCGATGTCGGTCGTGGCTGGCACGAACTTGCGAAGCAGGCTGACGTGGAAGGCGTCATGAATTCGCCAGTCGTCCGGTAGCAACAGCTTCGCGGTGACAGGTGTCACCATCTTGATAATCTTGAACGGTCCGCAAAATCGGGGCCGTAGCTTCGATGGACCGGGCAGGTGCAGGTTCTTCGTGTCGAGGAGCACTAATTGCCCAGTAGTCAAGACGAGTTCCCGGCGTAGAAGGTCGGTGTACTTGCGGGAAGTGATATTCGCCTTGCGAATTGCGTCTGCGGCTTTTTCGCGGATGTTCTGAAGTTCCGTCACAAAAGTCTGTGACCTCGGGACCGGGTTGTCGAGCGTGGTTACCGTGGGGACCGTCGGATCCATCCCGTAATTTAGGAAAAACGGGGAGTGATTAGTCGTGCTTGACGGTGCGTTGTTGAAGGCGAACTCCAACATGGCGAGGGAATCTTCCCATCGTGCGGGGTCGGGGCAGTTTCTCTCGTTTCAGCTGCTCCATCGTCTGGTTGGTTCGCTCGGTTTGTCCGTCCGTCTGTGGGTGGTATGCCGATGAGAACTGTAGCTTCGTGCCGTACTGCGCCCACGTCTCCTTCCAGAATTTCGACGTAAACTTCGGGTCTCGGTCGGTGATGATCGCCAAAGGAATGCCGTGCAGTCGCACGACCGTTGAGATGAAGAGGCGCGCAGTTTCTTCGGCTGTGATTGTCGTTCGGCATGGTGCGAAGTGCGCCATTTTCGTGAAGCGATCGACGACGACGAGTACAGCGTCGTTGCCGGACGGCCCAGCTGGCATCCCCGTGACGAAATCCATCGTCACTTGCTGCCACGGTCGTTCGGGTGGCTCGAGGGGTTGCAGTAGTCCGGCTGGTCGCTGACGTGTCGATTTCATTGCTTGGCACACCCTGCATGAGGACACATAGCGCTGCACGTCGTTAGAAGAATCAGGCCAGTAATATTGACGGTGCAGTAATTTCTGGGTTTTATCAACCCCGAAGTGTCCGGAGTAGTTCGAATCGTGGACCTCCTGGATGAGGAGTTCACGCAGCAGCCGGTAAGCGGGGACCCAAATCCTGTCGGTGCCGGCTTTTAGGTAATAATCCCCCTTCTGCGTCGTGGCCTGCTGATGATTTCCTGTCGTGAAGAATGGGTCCGTAGTGTAGCCGTGGGTGAATAGTCCTGTAAATAGTGGGTTGGAATGGGTTATCAGTACAGCAGCGGATTGTACGGTCGGTCTGGTCAGGGCGTCGGCGATGTTATTCGCCCCTTTCTTGTACGTGATGCGGTAGGTGAAGTGGCTCTCCATGTAATCCAGCCACCGAATCTGTCGCGGGTTGAGGTTGGGCTGAGCTCGCAGGTACTGTAGGGACTTGTGGTCCGTGCGCACAGTGACGTCGGCGCCCACCAGGTAGCAGCGCCACAGTTTAAACGCGTGAATTATGGCGAGCATCTACTTGTCGTGGATCGGGTAGTTGCGCTCGGCAGCTTGCAGCTTGCGTGATTCGTAGGCGATCGGCTGCAGCCCGTTCCCGAAATCCTGGAGAAGCACTGCTTCTATGGCAAAATCAGAGGCGTCGGTTACGACTTCGAACGGCTTCGATGGGTCGGCGATGCGCAGCACAGGAGGGGAAACGAGAAAATTCTTGAGCTCCTGGAAAGCCGCCTCTGCTTCCTCCCCCCACACGAAATTCTTGTCCTTGTGCAGCAGGTCGGTCAGCGGGCCGGTTATCCCCGCCATATTCGGGATAAACCGCCTGACGTAATTCACGAACCCCAGAAAACTCTGAAGTTCCGTGATGTTAGTCGGGGACTTCCACTCCTGAATAGTCTTGATTTTCGCCGGGTCGATTTTGATGCCGTCGCGTGAGATGACGTGCCCCAAAAACTCCAACTCCTGCTTAAAGAACTCGCACTTAGAGCCCTTGGTGATGAGGCGGTTCTCCTGCAACCGCTTAAACACTGCGTCGAGGTCGCGGAGGTGTTGTTTTCTCGTCTTGCTAAAAACCAGGATGTCGTCCAAATAGACGATCACACACTTGTCGAGAAATTCCCGGAAAATCCTGTTCATGGTCAGTTGAAATGTCGAAGGCGCGTTCGTGAGGCCGAAAGGCATCACTGTGAACTCGTAGCTTCCGTAGCGGGTGCGAAACGCAGTCTTGTGACAGTCGTCGGCGAAGACC